CAGGGTGTAGACCAATAATAGGACTGGATGGTTGTCATTTAAAAGGGATTTTTTGAAGGCATCTACTTAGTGCTATTGGGAGAGATGGAAATGACAACATGTACCCTATTGTTGTGGCTTTGGTTGAGATTGAATGTAAAGCCTCTTGGTCTTGGTTTCTTGAGGAATTGATCAGTGACATTTGGAGTGTTGAAGAGATGGGATGGACATTTATATCAGATAAACAGAAGGGGTTGGTTGAAACATTTACAGAGTTATACCCTACTGCAGATCACAGATATTGCCTAAGACATATGTATAATAACTTCAAGACAAAATACAGTGGTTGTGTGTTGAAAGACCTATTCTGGAAAGCTACATCAACAGGAAATGTGAATGAATTCAATTATTAGATGAAGAAGATTAAAGAAGCTGATCCTAAGATTGGAAATAGAAAGACGGTTATAGAGTGGTTGAGGGAGACTGACCCTGCCTTGTGGGCAAGGTCACATTTTTCTCCAAGGATCAAGTGTGATATCGTTGTCAACAATTTGAGTGAGTCATTCAATTCTTACCTTGTAGAAGCTAGAGAGCTACCAATTATCTCCATGTTTGAATGGATCAGAAGGAAATTAATGCAAAGGATCCAAATTAAAAAGATTGGAATGGAAAAATACACTGGTCAAATTTGTCTCAATATTCATGACAAACTTAAGAAGTTAAAGGTGGAATCAAGGAACTGCTTTGCAACCTGGTGTGGACAACTAGAATTTGAGGTTGATCATTTTTAAAAGAGGTACATAGTGGACCTAAGTACTAGGACATACAGTTGCAAAAGATGGGATTTGTATGGTTTGTCTTGTAGCCATGCCATCAGTGCCATTCAAATCAATCATGAACAGCCAGAAGACTATGTGCATGAGTATTACACCAAGTCTAGATACTTGGATACTTATGCATTCATGATACACCATATTCTAGACATGCATGAGTATGAGGAAGGTGGCCAAAAATTGAACCTACTAGAAGCAAAGAAATTAGCAAGAAGACCAAAGAAGTTAAGAAATAGACAAGCAAATGAGTCAAGAAATCCACACAAGGCATCAGGGAAGAACATCAATGTGATGTGCTAAGTGTCTGTAGAAGGGGCACAATCAGAGGTCATGCAAGAACAGACTGCATCCTAAGTCCAAAATGGTGAAGGTCGGTGTATGCTTATGCATTCATTTATTGCACGCATGTTATTAGATTTGTTTGTGCTGTTAACTTAATTTGTTTGTTGTAGCAAAGGTCTACTAGGGTGTCCACCAGGGGCCAATCATATTGTTCCTAACCACCTATGACAACTAATCAGGTAACATGAATACACAATTTATTGCTAACATTAGTTTGCCTAATTTGTGTATGTTCCTAACTTAATTTTTTTTGTCTCAGATGTCCAGTAGGAGGCAAACCAAAAAAAGTGGCTAATCAGCATCTCAGCCACCAGTGACTAGTGCTTCTATTGGACTAAAGAGGAGGAGTAGTAGGTCATCCACTCAGGTAACTAACTTGTTTACAACTTCAACTTTTTTATTTTGTAACTTGTAAGTTTGTTAATTGAAAATGTTGTTGCAGCCCACAAAACTACCAAACCATGGTGGAAAGACATCAAGTGCTCTTGCCAAAGCACCTGAAGTCACTATTGGTGGGAGGGGTAGAGGACTAATTAATGCAACTGCAGTTAATGTTAGAAGAACTAGAGTGAATGCTAATGTGAGAGGCAATGGTATTTCTATAATTTCTGTACTTAAGACAATCAAAACAAGGAGGCAGGCCAAAGAACTAGCTAATGGGTCAAACTAAAGCATTTCATAGTTGTTGTTCTTATTTTTGTTTTTGTATTGAAATAATAGTGGTAGGGTCTATTTGTATTTAAGCTAAGGAAAGGTAGACATACACTTAGAGTTATGGTTTTTGAAAAATTGGTTCAACTATTGTGTGAAACTGTTGATGTGTTTTTTGTGGTTTCTTAGCAGATTAGACTTAATTGGCAATTATGGTATTGAAATGCGACATAGTTCTATAAATGGATTTCTTTTGGGCCATTGTAATGCAAATGTAAAGACCATTTTGGCATTATAATCCAGATTTTCGGGAAGTGTTTTTGGCTTTGGAAAAATATCAATGCTTCGATTTTTTGGTTCATTGTTGAATAGCATTGCCATTACAAATTTGTCCTTTGTTATTTTTGTTCCATTGGTTAAAGTGTATTGAGTTGGAATGAATTGTTTGTTTTGCAATTAAACTCAGCAGGGTTGCCTGTATTGGAATAAGTTTGAATGTATTTTAATGTTGTTTGTATTTTTTGCATTGAAATGCAATAAAAAAAAAATCAGAATTATTTGTTTTTTTGTTTTTTGAATTAAACTCAACAGGGTTACCTGTGTCGGAATAATTTTGAATGCATTTTCATGTTACTTGTCTTTTTTGCATTGGAATGTAGTAAAAAAAAATTCAAAAATCACTAATTTCATAAACATAATTTCATTGATTTCAAACATACATCAAGTGCATAATGCTCCTTAAAAATTCATTTCATACTAGACATTAACATAGTGCTAATGAAACATACAGCCAAAACCACCATAGATGCCTTTATTATCATGTTCAGTGCCTCCAGCTTCATGAGTCTTCCATTAAAGTGCACACCTTCCTCAACTCTTGACTTCTCATCAGGCAAAATCTCATCTCTTCCATAGGAGGAAGCAAATCCAACTGGGTTGCACCAAGCCCATAAATCACAACCCCCTAAACCCGCCAAATCACACATATAGTACAACTTACCTTTCGAAGGCTTTAAGGACTCTACGATTCTAATATTGTTTTTGTCCCACAATGACATTTCTTGTTGATGAACCTCAACATTTGTCCTTCTCCACCGCCCATACTGCTTGAAAAGGACATTTTTGCTAGGTAGAGTTGCCTGCAACTCCACATACAGAGGAAAGAGAGTAAAAAAAAGCAATCTTATTGGGTAAGGTTTTATTTCTAACTCTAGGGGCATTTTGGTCATTTAATTGGGAGGGAAAATCACCAGTTCATGCCCAATTACACATTACTTGAGTGTACTGCACAGGTTATTAGATTCGATGGAAATGCTAATTGTGCACTTCAATCCATTAACCATAGGGGAGTTATGTGGTGATATTCTAATGTCAGGGGGTAATCCGCACCCGACCCAAACCATAGGGAGTTAAAGTAAAGATTTTCCCTTTTTTTTTAATCTCTTTATTTTTCCAAATTTTTATTTTACTTTCTATCTTCTACTAGACTAGAAGCCTTAAAATTTCTAAAAAATAAACCAAACTTAAAAAATAAAGTTGAACCACCCCACCCCAAAATAATAATAATAATAAATCAATTAATAATTGTCTTTTTTTCATTTAATTTATTTATAATTTTTAAGGTCTTCTAGTCTGGAATAACCTAAAATATTATATTAAAAAAAATGACAACTTTTTATAAAAAAAATAATAATAAAGAAAAAAAAATTGAGAAATTGTTATTTCCAAACACATAAGGGTTCACATAAGACATGCAACATGTGACACCCCAAAGAATGCCATGTGTTACAACTATACTATCATCCATCTTTGAATACCCTAAGCCCTGCCTTATGTTATATGCCTACTTGAATCAAAACTTGTTAAGAAATTTAAAAGTAAGAAACATGCCCTGATAAAAACCAATTTAAGAATATAAATATTTAAAAAATATTAAGAATTAGGGGAATGCATTGAGCTTAGATTTGTGAATACTAGGATGTGCATGTCCAACTTGTTTTGTAAACTAGGCCTTTGATAGTCCACAACTATTGGCTGGTCACTTCACCACTACAAAAATTCCAATTTTTTGCAACATACTAATGTCGTCTCAAAAAACTTTTAGAGACGGCAAATGACTTTTAGCGACGGCAATAGGGGGTCACAACAAAAGGTGTTGCTAAAAAGTTTTTTTTTTGTGATGGCAAATGTTGCCTTTTGCAACGGCATTTTACTATTGCCCATAATATGTAAAAAATTGAGAACTTTTGCGACGACGATGTTTTACCATCACTAAAAGTTTTATTTGAGACGGCAAAAAAATGTTGTCGCAAATTTTTTTTTCTTGCGACAGCATGACCTCTGTTGCCAATTTCTTTTGCGACGGCATTGCCCATGTCGCCAAAAAAATACACTTTAGCTCTAATGTTTTTTGTGAAGGTGTAGTGTCGTTGTATAAAAAAAAAATTGCAATAAAATTATTAAAAATATTCAAATTACCTGTATTAAATGAAAAAAATTGAAAAAGAAACCAATAATTGCATAATAATATAAAAATTTCTATATAAAAATAACAATTTCTCCATAATTTGCATAACAATATAAAATTTCTTGTATAAAAATAACAATTTCTCCATAATAAAAATATTCTTGCATTCATAACTACATATCAGCAAAATTACCCCACTACATAATGTTCCATAATACCTATATAATGTTTAAATACATAATGTTGTTCACAATACAAAAAAACATAAACCAAAAACAAAAGTTTTCCTCATCGTTCTCCGTAGGTAACAAAAACAAAAGTTAGTCGCATTCTTCACAGGCATGCATTTCATAAGAAGCAAACTCCTACTCAGGAAATATATTAAAACAAAAAAAAAATTAATGACGATATAATTATGTGTTAATATGTTAATTACAAAAAAACATAAAAATTTAACTACTATACAATTACAAAGATAATTAAGTAAATAATTTTGCCTAGACCGAAATTCGGCTCCAACTCTTAAACCGGGAACCCGATTCAAGTCCTGTATTCTCCCACAAGTCTCTCCTGCTTAGGCGGTCATGTGTGCCAAGTTTCGTGCTAATTCGATGTCGTTTGGTGATTTTGGGGCGTCAACACCTCGAATTCTAAGTTTCTTAAGGAATTACTTTGCCTAGACAGAAATTTGGCTCTAACTCCCAAACTAGGAATCCGATTTGAGTTCCATCTTCTCCCACAAGTCTCTCATGCCTAGGCGGTCATGCGTGCCAAGTTTTGTGCTAATCTGACGCCGTCTGGTGATTTTGGGGCGTCAACACCTCGAATTCTAAATTTCTTAAGGAACTAGATCGCCTAGACCAAAATCTAGCTCTACCTCCCAAATCGAGAACCTGATTTGAGTCCCGTCTTCTCCCACAAGTCTCTCGTGCTTAAGTGGTGTGTGTGCCAAGTTTCGTTCTAATTTGACCCCATTTGGTGATTTTAGGGCGTTAACACCTCGAATTCTAAGTTTCTTAAGGAATTAGATTGCCTAGACCGAATCCGACTCTAACTCCCAAATCAGGAACCCGATTTGAGTCCCTCTCTTGTGTCAAAGTGGTCATGCGTGCCAAGTTTCATGCTAATCCAACGCCGTTTGGTGATTATGAGGCGTTAACACCTCAAATTCTAAGCTTCTTAAGAAATTAGTTGGCCTAGACTGAAATCCGGCTCTAACTCCCAAACCGGGAACCCGATTTTAGTCATGTCTTCTCCCACAATTCTCTCGTTCCCTGGCGGTCGTGTGTGCCAAGTTTCGTGCTAATCCGACGTCGTTTGGTGATTTTGAGGTGTCAACACCTCAGATTCTAAGTTCCTTAAGGAATTAGTTTGCCTAGATCGAAATCTCTAACTCCCAAATTGGGAACCCGATTCGAGCCCCGTCTTCTCCCATAATTCTCTCGTGCCTTGGCAGTTGTGTATGCCAAGTTTCGTGCTAATCTGACGTTGTTTGGTGATTTTGAGGCGTCAATACCTCGGATTCTACGTTTCTTAATGAACTAATTTCCCTAGACTGAAATCCGGCTCTAACTCGCAAACCAAGAACCCGATTCGAGTCCTATCTTCTCCCACAAGTCTCTCGTGCCTAGGTGGCCGTGTGTGCCAAGTTTCGTGCTAATCTGATGCCGTTTGGTGTTTTGGGGTGTCAACACCTTGAATTCACGAGGCTGAAAAAGAATGACAAAATTGTTACTTGAAACCCTTCCACGAGGTTGAATTCAATGTTAATGGTAGACATGACCTTTTACACCTTGTGTTTTGCTTCTTTGTATGGTTAAATTCCAACCCATATGAATAAATAAGCAAAAGCAAACCTAAAACGCACTTTCATATCTATGATGCCATGAACACATCAAAATGCTTGAATTTTTTAACCACTCAAAATCTCATATTGATAGCTAAGGGAACAATCAAGATTCAACTACCTACTATATTTACATCCATTAGCAGTTCAGACACTAGATTCAATTAAATTAATACAGTAAACCATCAATATGCATAGAACATAATTTGCTAGAAATCACATTAATATCAACAGTAAATGGAAAGCTACATCAAAGCATGCACAACTCTAGGTGTGGTAGCAAGTAAATAATAATCATGATTATATTCAAAACCATCTAGATGTGGTAGCAAGCAACTTTAAATCATTTATTTGAAGCATTTGTTCAACATAAAGTTATTCTAGGATATTAAAAAAGTAAAACAATGAAAAGAAAATAAGAAAAGAAAACACAAAATGTACAAATGCATTTGTAGGAAAACTTGTGGCAGAAAAATCAAGATAATTAAAACTCACTTTTTTTCCCAACAGTGTTTCACCAACTGGCTCTCCAAGCAGCTTCTGCTTTACAGCAATGTGCATCTCATTCTGCAGTAATAACAAAATAACAAAAAATCAATTCACGTAAATATGACTTAAATTTCATACAAAAATATGTGTTATATATATGATATAACCACATATACAAAGAACAATGTCTTGCAAAAGAAAAAGTGTAATGCCTGTCCATATAATCCTAAAATCCCAAACATCCAGTATTTCACAAGAGTCCCAAAAAATAAAAGACAAAAATAAAATGCATGTTGAATGCGTACTACCACAAAAAGACCCAAACCTAAAAGCAAAGTTGAAATATTGTCAATAAATAACAAAATTCAGGAGATATGAAGAAAACCAAGCCACGTGTTCGGATTATTAAGATATCTCAACAATAATGACACATAAAAGGCAAAAGTGCTCAGATTAAACAGCTTAATAACAAAATGTGCTCCAAATGATCAAATGGTCAAGCAATAGTGGATTTTCGCATACGACCAATTCATATTTAAATAGGAGAAACACCTTGTGAAAAACACTGAGTGTGAGCACATCATTTAGATACTTCTAACACTAAATAGTGGGAATTTGTCTAGAGTGGGAACGGCTATCAAGAGGGAATAAAAAGATAGAAAATAAAGGAAATAAAATAGAAGGGTTATATGCCAAAATGACCAACACTGCAGCAAATTTGAACCCGTCAAAAACAATGTCATGTACCTTTGGGGATTAATGAATTTAAGCTTTGTAGTGAAGACGGGGTAGAAAGAATAAAGTAATTACAGGGCACACTGTCGTCGATGAAAATAATACATAGTAATAGATAATAAAAAAAAAATATAATCAACAGTTTTATAAGTTAAAAGACTAGTGATATATCACTCACTTGTATTGTGATACTGATAAAATACATCACTTTCTATTTGCTTGGTTATTACAAAAATGATCTTACAAGGCAATGAAAATTAATAAATAATTAACTAAACTCTCAGGAATGAGCTAAATCATAATTCTGGTTAAGCTCTTATCAACACAGTGAAATTTATCATGGTTGGAGAAAATTATGGAAGAAAAAAGTAAAAAACAAAAGACTTTCCAATATAGGGGTACTAGGCTAAAACTTTTCACCAATTGAACTTCAACACATAAATTTCACTTAGGAAAAAGGGGAAAATCAGCAATATATCATGGAGAGATAGAAAAACATAAATTTATCATTTTTCCCAATTACAATTTAGATCAATGTACATAAACCATTTATTTCTGCATATTCGTAATTTAAAATAATAAATTCAACAAAAAGTTGTTGAAGTTTCCCAATTTATAAGCTTAAAAAAAAAATGAGAAATGCATATTGATTCTAGATTATTGGACTAAATTGAATTGACTTGCTTACGAAGAAGGCCCAACATTAGATATATGGCCATTTCAGCACATGAAGCTATATTTCCAGTTACACCACCAGGAATTCTAGCGACTTTGATTCCATGCTTTGTAGCGGCATTGATGTCAACGCCTTCATGTAAAGATAAATGGAGACCATATGCATATAAGAAATAATGTCTAACAGATATTATGTTTATGGTATTTAACAAAAATAAAGAAAGAACCTTTCAGCCCAACACCATACTGCATTATTAGCTTTGTCCTATTTGCACAAGAAATAGCATCTGCATTTAGCCGCATGTTTTTTACAATACAGATATCGTAGTTGCCAATAACAGCTAGCACATCATCAAATGGAACATCATCAACCTACAAAATGGAAGATAGAACTACTGAAGGGATGCACTATAGCATATGTAACCCTTTAAACTGATGTCTATTCCAATTGAAGAACATCAATTTTGAGAAATCAGTGATAGACAAATTTTCAATAAGAATTAAGAAATACAATGAGAGAGTAATACAAGATAAGTCAATTTGGAAAAAATAATAACTAAGCTCTTTGGATTTGATATTTTTAATTTACACCTCAAATCGATGCTCCTCAAAAATAAATATGTAAATTTAAATTTAAAAAAAAAAAGAGAAAAAAAAGAAAGGTCTAAATCATCAATCAAAAACCCAAGGCCTAACAACCATCTGAATCAAAATCATCAATCAAAATTTATCATTTGAATTCGAATCAAAATCATCTACAACAATACAACCATCTAAAAATCATCTACAACAAATTCTTCATTATACCCCTTAAATTTATCATCTGAATCAAAATCATCTACAACAATACAACCATCTAAAAATCATCTACAACAAATTCTTCATTATACCCCTTAAATTTATCATCTGAATCAAAATCATCTACAACAATACAACCATCTAAAAATCATCTACAACAAATTCTTCATTATACCCCTTAAATTTATCATCTGAATCAAAATCATCTACAACAATACAACCATCTAAAAATCATCTACAACAAATTCTTCATTATACCCCTTAAATTTATCATCTGAATCAAAATCATCTACAACAATACAACCATCTAAAAATCATCTACAACAAATTCTTCATTATACCCCTTAAATTTATCATCTGAATCAAAATCATCTACAACAATACAACCATCTAAAAATCATCTACAACAAATTCTTCATTATACCCCTTAAATTTATCATCTGAATCAAAATCATCTACAACAATACAACCATCTAAAAATCATCTACAACAAATTCTTCATTATACCCCTTAAATTTATCATCTGAATCAAAATCATCTACAACAATACAACCATCTAAAAATCATCTACAACAAATTCTTCATTATACCCCTTAAATTTATCATCTGAATCAAAATCATCTACAACAATACAACCATCTAAAAATCATCTACAACAAATTCTTCATTATACCCCTTAAATTTATCATCTGAATCAAAATCATCTACAACAATACAACCATCTAAAAATCATCTACAACAAATTCTTCATTATACCCCTTAAATTTATCATCTGAATCAAAATCATCTACAACAATACAACCATCTAAAAATCATCTACAACATAGTTTGCCTAAAGTGAAATCCGGCTCTAACTCTCAAACCGGGAACCCGATTGGAGTTCCGTCTTCTCCTACAAATCTCTCGTGCCTAGGTGGTCGTGTGTGCCAAGTTTCGTACTAAACCGACGTCGTTTGGAGATTTTGGGGCGTCAACACCTCCAATTCAAATTTCTTAATGAACTAGTTTGCCTACATCGAAATCCGGCTCTAACTCCCAAACCAGGAACCCGATTGGAGTCCCGTCTTCTCCCTCAAGTCTCTTGTGCCTAGGCGGTCGTGTGTGCCAAGTTTCATGCTAATCCGACACCGTTTGGAGATTTTGGGGCGTCAACACCTCCAATTCAAATTTCTTAAAGAACTAGTTTGCCTAGAGTAAAATCCGGCTCTAACTCCCAAACCGGGAACCCGATTGGAGTCCTGTCTTCTCCCACAAGTCTCTCGTGCCTAGGCGATCGTGTCTGTCAAGTTTCGTGCTAAACCGATGCCGTTTGGTGATTTTGGGGCATCAACACCTCGAATTTAAGTTTCTTAAGAAACTAGTTTGCCTAGAGTGAAATCTGGCTCTAACTCCCAAACCGGGAACCCAATTAGAGTCCCGTCTTCTCTCACAAGTCTCTCGTTCCTAGGCGGTCATGTGTGCCAAGTTTCGTGCTAAACCGACGCCGTTTGTTCATTTTGGAGCGTTAACACCTCCAATTCAAATTTCTTAATGAACTAGTTTGCCTAGATCGAAATTCGGCTCTAACTCCCAAACCGGGAACCTGATTGGAGTCCCGTCTTCTCCCACAAGTCTCTCGTGCTTAAGTGGTCGTGTGTGCCAAGTTTCGTGCTAAACCGATGCCGTTTGGTGATTTTGGGGCATCAACACCTCCAATTCAAGTTTCTTAAGAAACTAGTTTGCCTAGAGTGAAATCCAGCTCTAACTTCTAAACCGGGAACCCAATTGGAGTCCCGTCTTCTCCCACAAGTCTCTCGTGCCTAGGCGGTCGTGTGTGCCAAGTTTCGTGCTAAACCGACGCTGTTTGGTGATTTGGGGCGTCAACACCTCCAATTCAAATTTCTTAAGGAACTAGTTTGCCTAGATCGAAATTCGGCTCTAACTCCCAAACTGGGAACCCGATTGGAGTCCTGTCTTCTCCCACAGGTCTCTCATGCCTAGGTGGTCGTGTGTGCCAAGTTTCGTGCTAAACCGATGTCGTTTGGTGATTTGGGGTGTCAACACCTCCAATTCAAATTTCTTACGGAACTAGTTTGCCTAGACCGAAATTCGGCTCTAACTCCTAATCCGGGAACCCAATTAGAGTCCCGTCTTCTCCCACAAGTCTCTCGTGCCTAGGCGGTCGTGTTTGCCAAGTTTCGTGCTAAACCGATGCCCTTTTTTTGCTCTCTTTAATTGATATATAGATATGGACAGGGAAAACTATGTAAGGAAAAAAAATATTTATGGAAGTAATACAATTGGAAATAATACAACTCATGCCAACATTCCCCCTCAAGTTGGTGCGTAAAGATCTCCTATGCCCAACTTGTCGAGTGAGTCATAAAACACTTTCCCGGACACTGCATGTGTCAATACATCGGCTAGCTGCTCCTCTGATTTAACAAATGGTATAGTCACCAAATTTGTATCTAGCTTCTCTTTGATAAAATGTCGATCTACCTCTACGTGTTTTGTTCGGTCATGCTGAATAGGATTGTTTGCTATTTCTCGAGCAGCTTGATTATCACAATAAAGCTGCATAGCATTCTGTGGTTCAAAACCTATCTCGGCAAGCAACAACCGTAGTCAGAGAAGTTCACAAATTCCTTGATCCATACCTCTATATTCAGCCTCAGCTGTGGAGCGAGAGACCACATTTTGTTTCTTACTACGCCATGTGACTAGATTACCTCCCACGAATGTAAAGTATCCTGATGTGGAACGTCGGTCCGTAATATTGCCTGCCCAATCCGCATCAGTGTATCCCTCAACCTTCAAATGTCCATGCTTTTTGAATAGCAAACCTTTCCCAGGAGGAGACTTTAAATAACTCAAGATTCGCATTATAGCCTCCATATGATCCTCACTTGGAGAGTGCATAAACTGACTAACAACGCTAACTGCATACGCAATATCAGGTCTAGTGAGTGATAGATAAATTAATTTTCCAACTAGCCTTTGATAGCTCTCTTTATTAGTTGGAACTTGATTTGGATATATTCCCAGATGGTGATTTTGCACAATAGGAGTACTCACGGGTTTACATCCTAACATACCCGTTTCAGTAAGTAAATCTAACACATACTTTCGTTGTGACAAATAAATGCCACTACTAGAGCGAGCCACTTCAATGCCTAAAAAATACTTCAACCCTCCCAAGTCCTTCATGTCAAACTTAGAAGCCAAATACCCTTGCAGCTTTTGAATTTCATCAGTATCATCACCCGTAACCACCATGTCGTCAACATAGATAACTAACAAAGTAATCTTACCATCCTTTGTTTTTTTAATAAACAAGGTATGATCAGAATTTCCTTGATGATACCCATATTTCTTCATGGCATTTGTAAACCTCCCAAACCATGCTCGAGGGGATTGCTTCAAGCCATATAGGGCCTTACGCAACTTGCAAACTTTCCCTGAGCCGTTAATTATCCCATAACCAAGTGGAAAATCCATGTATACTTCTTCTTCCAAATCTCCATGTAAAAAGGCATTTTTTACATCAAACTGCTTCAAAGGCCAATTCAAATTAGCAGCTAAGGATAGTAAAACTCTAATGGTATTCATTTTTGCTACTGGCGCAAAAGTCTCATGATAATCCACGCTGTATGTTTGTGTGTACCCCTTTGCTACTAACCTCGCCTTGTATCTATCAATCGTCCCATCAGCTTTGTGTTTGATAGTAAATACCCATCTACACCCCACTGGTTTCTTTCCGTGTGGCAGCGAGACTACATTCCAAATCTTATTCGTCTGTAGTGCTGCCATCTCTATATTCATAGCATCTATCCATTTTGAATCCTTCAAAGCCTCCTCAACACTATTTGGGAACTTAACAGATGTCATTTGATTCACAAAGGCTTGATATTGTGGTGACAATCTGTGAGTAGATACATATTGACCAATGGAGTACCTTGTTTTTCCTTCATGTGAGAATCGGTCAAGTGGATGGCCTCGATTCTGTCTTGGAGGCAATTGATAAGGTCTATTAACAATGTTAGGATTAGTAACAATATTAATGTCTAAGCCACTTACCTCAGGGATATCCATAGGAGCATGAGCAGGTACGAGAGAAGGGGAATCAACAACCTCAAGAGGAACAACCGTAGGCTCAACAAGCTGCGCAATATTCGGAACAGAATCGGCGTGTGAAGTAAACTCAGTGACTAGTATAGATGAACTTGGTTTTGGTAGTGAATTGGGCTCTGGTTCAGTGGCCACTGGTTTGTTACACACCACTCCTTCTCTATCTTCCAATGTAACCTCAAACCAATCAGGTTCTTCAAGTGTACGCAACTCCCCCTGAAGCACCTGGTTGGACAAGGTAGGATCAAAAACCATCTCATGTTCTAGGAATGTCACGTCCATGGTGACATAAAAGCACCGGGTAGGAGGATGGTAGCATCGGTAGCCTTTTTGATGGGGAGCAAAGCCGAGAAAAACACATCGAATAGCGCAAGGATCCAATTTGCTCCGCTGATTTTTATGAAGATGAACATACGCCACACGCCCAAAAATCCGCAGAGTAAGATTTAATATAGATGACAAAGGTACATGATGTGCTAAAGCTTCCAGAGGAGTGTGAAAATCAAGAGTCCGAGAAGGCATTCGATTCATCAAATAGATAGCATGGATAACAGCATCAGCCCAAAATTGTTTGGGGACCGAAGCACCAATGAGCAAGGTACGAGCAACCTCAAGAATATGTCGATTCTTACGCTCTGCAACACCATTTTGTTCGGGAGTTTGAGAACAACTAGTTTCATGGATCATGCCAATGTCTTGAAAAAATTGAGAGAGCTCAGAATTAATATATTCCCCGCTGTTGTCAGAGCGGAACACCTTGCTAGGTAGTGAAAATTGGGTTTGGATCATCTTATGAAAGACTCGAAAAATTGGACCAACATCACTTTTATGTTTCATGACATATAACCAAGTCATACGAGTACAATCATCCACAAAGGTAACAAACCATCGAATACCAGCATAAGTAGTAACAGGGGAAGGACCCTAGACATCAGAGTGTATTAAAGCAAATGGAACCATACTTTTATTAAAACTCAAAGGATAAGGAACACGATGACTCTTAACTAAAATACAAATATTGCATTTAAATTCAGAGTCCTTGACATTATGAAATAACGAAGGTAGTAACTTGCGTAAATAACCGAAAGACACATGACCAAAACGATAATGCCACAACCAAATTTTTTTCATCTTCTCAGTATCTGTCCCATGCACCTGATGAACCTGACCTGCTGCAACATCATCAACATAATATAATCCCCCTCTCTTAGTACTACGCCCAATGATCTCCCGAGTCTGGATATCCTGGAGCAAGCAAAAAAGAGGAAACATTAATACTATACAATCCAATTGTTCTGTAACTTGATTGACAGAAAGTAAATTATTGGATAATGTTGGAACAAGCAAGGTATGATGTAGGGACAATGAAGGAGTAAGAGCAATAGAACCAAGATATAAACTGGGTTAGGACCACGCTCTGATACCAAGACAAAAGAATGAAGTGATAAATTTTATTCTAATAAAAAATTAATTAGAAAAAAGATACAAGAAGCCTTATATAGGCGTAAGAGATATTGGAGTAGGCACCAAGTCAATACAGATATGGACAGGGAAAACTATGTAAGGAAAAAAAAAAAAAACTTATTTATGGAAGTAATACAATTGGAAATAATACAACTCATGCCAATAGTTTCGTGCTAATCCGACGTCATTTTGAGGTGTCAACACCTCAGATTCTAAGTTCCTTAAGGAATTAGTTTGCCTAGATCGAAATCTCTAACTCCCAAATCGGGAACCCGATTCGAGTCTCGTCTTCTCCCATAATTCTCTCGTGCCTTGGCAGTTGTGTATGCCTAGTGTCGTGCTAATCTAACGTTGTTTGGTGATTTTGAGGCGTCAATACCTTGGATTCTAAGTTTCTTAAGGAACTAATTTGCCTAGACTGAAATCCGGCTCTAACTCGCAAACCAAGAACCCGATTCGAGTCCCGTCTTCTCCCACAAGTCTCTCGTGCCTAGGTGGCCGTGTGTGCCAAGTTTCGTGCTAATCTGACACCGTTTGGTATTTTGGGGTGTCAACACCTCGAATTCACGAGGCTGAAAAAGAATGACAAATTTGTTACTTGAAACCCTTCCACGAGGTTGAATTCAATGTTAATGGTAGACATGACCTTTTACACCTTGTGTTTTGCTTCTTTGTATGGTTAAATTCCAACCCATATGAATAAATAAGCAAAAGCAAACCTAAAACGCACTTTCATATCTATGATGCCATGAACACATCAAAATGCTTGAATTTTTTAACCACTCAAAATCTCATATTGATAGCTAAGGGAACAATCAAGATTCAACTACCTACTATATTTACATCCATTAGCAGTTCAGACACTAGATTCAATTAAATTAATACAGTAAACCATCAATATGCATAGAACATAATTTGCTAGAAATCACATTAATATCAACAGTAAATGGAAAGCTACATCAAAGCATGCACAACTCTAGGTGTGGTAGCAAGTAAATAATATTCATGATTATATTCAAAACCATCTAGATGTGGTAGCAAGCAACTTTAAATCATTTATTTGAAGCATTTGTTCAACATGAAGTTATTCTAGGATATTAAAAAAATAAAACAATGAAAAGAAAATAAGAAAAGAAAACACAAAATGCACGAATGCATTTGTAGGAAAACTTGTGGCAGAAAAATCAAGATAATTAAAACTCACTTTTTTTCCCAGCAGTGTTTCACCAACTGGCTCTCCAAGCAGCTTCTGCTTTACAGCAATGTGCATCTCATTCTGCAGTAATAACAAAAAATCAATTCACGTAAACATGACTTAAATTTCATACAAAAATATGTGTTATATATATGATATAACCACATATACAAAGAACAATGTCTTGCAAAAGAAAAAGTGTAATGCCTGTCCATATAATCCTAAAATCCCAAACATCCAGTATTTCACAAGAGTCCCAAAAAATAAAAGACAAAAATAAAATGCATGTTGAATGCGTACTACCACAAAAAGACCCAAACCTAAACGCAAAGTTGAAATATTGTCAATAAATAACAAAATTCAGGAGATATGGAGAAAACCAAGCCAAGTGTACGGATTATTAAGATATCTGAACAATAATGACACATAAAAGACAAAAGTGCTCAGATTAAACAGCTTAATAACAAAATGTGCTCCAAATGATCAAATGCTCAAGCAATAGTGGATTTCCGCATGCGACCAATTCATATTTAAATAGGAGAAACACCTTGTGAAAAACACAGAGTGTGAGCACATCATTTACATACTTCTAACACTAAATAGTGGGAATTTGTCTAGAGTGGGAACGGCTATCAAGAGGGAATAGAAAGATAGAAAATAAAGGAAATAAAATAGAAGGGTTATATGCCAAAATGACCAACACTGCAGCAAATTTGAACCCGTCAAAAACAATGTCATGTACCTTTGGGGATTAATGAATTTAAGCTTTATAGTGAAGACGAGGTAGAAAGAATAAAGTAATTACAGGGCACACTGTCGTCGATGAAAATAATACATAGTAATAGATAATAACAAAAAAATATAATCAACAGTTTTATAAGTTAAAAGACTAGTGATATATCACTCACCTGTATTGTGATACTGATAAAATACATCACTTTCTATTTGCGAGGTTATTACAAAAATGATCTTACAAGGCAATGAAAATTAATAAATAATTAACTAAACTCTCAGGAAGGAGCTAAATCATAATTCTGGTTAAGCTCTTATCAACACAGTGAAATTTATCATGGTTGGAGAAAATTATGGAAGAAAAAAGAAAAAAACAAAAGACTTTCCAATATAGGGGTACTAGGCTAAAACTTTTCACCAATTGAACTTCAACACATAAATTTCACTTAGGAAAAAGGAGAAAATCAGCAATATATCATGGAGAGATAGCAAAACATAAATTTATCATTTTTCTCAATTACAATTTAGATCAATGTACATAAACCATTTATTTCTGCATATTCGTAATTTAAAATAATAAATTCACCAAAAAGTTGTTGAAGCTTCCCAATTTATAAGCTTAAAAAAAATGAGAAATGCATATTGATTCTAGATTATTGGACTGAATTGAATTGACTTGCTTACGAAGAAGGCCCAACATTAGATATATGGCCATTTCAGCACATTAAGCTACATTTCCAGTTACACCACCAGGAATTCTAGCGACTTTGATTCCATGTTGATATAGCACTAAAATGTATATCGTTATCAATTGTGAAGTATAGAAGCGTTTCTATGTGTTATTGATACAGCATCAAAATGTGTATCCATCATGAATTTCGAAAGTGTTTTAAAGATGAGTCTAAACCTCATTAAGTTATTTGGCTAGGTTCTAAGCCTTGTTTTCAAACTCAAAGTTGAATAAGAAATGGAAATTGAAGTGTGCCATGGGCATGATTGTTGTGAAACTGTAATACGACATACGTTGGAATACAAGTGTGGACCATCTATTGAATGCTATTATTTTATTCATTGTTTATAGTTGGTTTAGTATATTTCTACTGGGCTGTGGCTCACCCTTTATGGGACATCATTTTCAGGTATAGGTAGCATGCCACCTCCAAGGGCATAGCTTGGGAGGCTAGAGACATACAGACTGTTTCTGTTGTTTTGTTTTCTTTTGATGTATTACATGTATATCAAGCCAAGGGCTTTCTTTGCATAGAGTTAGTACTCTTTTTTTTGTAACCAAGTGTTGATTGGATTTGATATTTTTAATTTACACCTCAAATCGATGCTCCTCAAAAATAAATATGTAAATTTAAATTTTAAAAAAAAAAAAGAGAAAAAAAAGAAAGGTCTAAATCATCAATCAAAAACCCAAGGCCTAACAACCATCTGAATCAAAATCATCAATCAAAATTTATCATTTGAATTTGAATCAAAATCATCTACAACAATACAACCATCTAAAAATCATCTACAACAAATTCTTCATTATACTCCTTAAATTTATCATCTGAATCAAAATCATCTACAACAATACAACCATCTAAAAAAAGAGGTCTGAATCATCAATCAAAAACCCAGGGCCTAACAACCAAAAAATAAATATGGAAATTTAAATTAAAAAACAAAAAAATCAAAGAAAAAAAGCATAATGAGTCTTGAAAAACCATCAGCAATTCAGAAAAGGGGAATTGTTCCCTTCATCAAAGGTTTGGATATAATTCAACAGGCTAATTTCAAATCCATCAATGGAGGCTAATTTCAAGAGCTAACCTAGTTCACGTTGCCGTCGTCTACCATTGCTCGCAGTCTCACGCTGCTCGCCATCGCTCGACGTCATCGTCTGCCGTTGCTCGATGTCGTCTCACACTGTTGTTGTCATCGCTCGACACAGTCGTCTGCCTTGCTTACAGTCGTGAGAGAGAGAGAGAGAGAGAGATAGGGATTTTTGGTTTAAAAGATTAAGGATTTGAGATTTAGGAATTTTTGGTTGAGGGGGAAAAACGAGTGCGAATCATATTTTGAGTTTTTTTTTTTTTTTTGCGATGTCAAGTATAACCGTCACAAATGAAAATTTAAGCAATGAAACGATGGCGTTTAACTAATCTCTCTATCTCAAAATAATGGTCTCTTTTGAGGAATTCAACTTTTTTTAAAAGTACAATTATTATATTTTAAAAATATTAATTTTTTAAAATTATCCTTTGATAGTACATTTTTTTGGGAATATTAATTTTAATAATTGTACTTTTTGTATTATTAATGAATTTAAAAGAAGGGAAAAATAGTAAATTCATATTATTTTATTTCTTACTTTTTGGGAAGGGACTAATATTTTGGAACAATAAAAAATAGAATAAGGGACTAATATTTTGGGATGGAGAGAGTAATTTTTTTTATTTGCGACGGGGGTATTGCCGTCGCCGATAATCTTTATTTGCGATGGGGGAAGGTTGCCATCACAAAAAAAAAACTCATTTTTTTGCCAAGAACCTCCGTGTCCATTTTGTTGCGCAATGAAAGCTAGGAAGAAAGAAACAAAAAAAAGAGGGAGAAACAAGAAATGATCAGCGAGAGAGAGAGATAGAGAGACAAAAAAAAGAGAGAGAAAAAAGATGAGCAAGAGAGATGGAGAGAGTGAGAGAGATGAGAGAGATAGAGAAGAGAGATGAGTGAAAGAGAGAAAGAAGAGAGATGAACAAGAGACAGAAAGACAGAGAGAGAGAGAGAGACCCATTTCATTTTTTGATTTTTTCCTCTTTCAACAACAATGGGCTCAGAGAAAGAGATGAGTGTGATTGAGAGAAATGAACCATTGAGAAAGTAGAGAAATGAGTGAGTGAGAGAGAGACACACACACACATAGAGAAAAAAATAGAGAGAAACAAGATGAGTGAGAGACAGAAAAGAGAGAAAGACACTAAAAAGAGATGAACAAGATATATATATATATAGAGAGAGAGAGAGAGAAAGAGAGAGAGAAGAAGAAGAAGAAGAAGAAGAAAGATGAGCAAAAGAGATGAGAGAGCCATAGAGAAGAGTGATGAGTAAGAGAAAGAGAGAGAGAGAGAGAGAGAGAGGGGGAAAAAAAAAGAAAAACAAGATGAGCAAGAGAGAGAGAGAGGGGGAGAGAAAGACAACAAAAAGAGATGAACAAGAGATATAGAGAGAGAGAGAGAAAAAAAAAGAGAAAGAGAAGAAATATGAGCAAGATAGATAGATAGCGAAGAGAGATGAAAGAGCCAAAGAGAAGAGTGATGAGAGAGAGAGAGAGAGAAATAAAGGCCCATTTCATTTTTTGACTTTTGCTTTCGATAAGTGATTAAGAGAAATATGAAATGAACGATTGAGAGAGAGAGAGAGAAAATAAGAGATCGATAAATCGAGAGAGAGATCGGTAAATCAAGAAAATGGGAGAGATAGAGTGAGCAACGCGAGCACAGTGTGGAAGAGAGAGAAAGGGAAAGTAATTCAATCTCTACCAGAGAAATAATTTTAACAAAAATACTCAACAAGTTATTATCTCAATTATTATATTTAAATCATGGATTAAAGTAGGAGTTTGGAATATAAAAAAAAAAGGCAAAGAAAATTGAGCAAAATTTCTGCTTACACTACAAAAATTCTAGTTTTTTGCGATGGCAAAATACTGTCGCTAATACTTCTAATGGCGTCTCATCAAAACCGTTTTTTTGTTTTTTTTTTTTTGACAGCACCTATTACCGTCGCAAAAAACTCTCTTATTTGCGACTGCAGTTCATGTCATCACAAAAAGTAGCTTTATTTGTGACAGCATGGGTTACCGTCGCAAAAAATACGCATTATTTGCGACTGCAGTTGTTGCCGTCGCAAAAAGCTACTTTTTTGTGACAGGAAAGCATGCCGTCACTAAAAACCCATTTATTGATAACGGCAAGTGGTACTGTCACAAAAAATCACTTTTTGCGATGGTAAATGATATCATTGGAAATATTTCTATGTTATATAACCCCTTTTCTTATAGTGCACCATCCTATTTGAGGCGGGTTGGGATCGTAACACTAAATTACCCAACGTGATATCTGAATTTGATTCTTACCAATTTTTTCTTCCCTTATTACCTCCTACCACAACTTATTGTAAAAGAAAAAAGTCTTTTAATTTTAAGTAATTGTTTAAAATATTTTCAAAGTTGAAGGTAATTAAGGTATTTCTCATATTGGGCTCATATTCTTATAACTGTACAACCCAATCCTATACTGGGTGGGCATGTGTGAGTCCACCAAACTTTTCAGCCCATGTTTCCATTGGACTAGTAAAAAATTCTTTATTTTTTATAATTTTTTATATTTATAATTTCTCGAATATATCTCCACATTTTCGTCAAATGAATAATTCCCATTTTATTTTGTACATTATAAAAGATTTAGAATTTTTTTCAAATCCCCAAATATTACTAATAATACAATTATGGGACAATAGTGTGTTTGGTTTGAGTTTTTTTAATTAAATTTTTTGAAAACTGAGTTTTTTTGTTTTCGTATTTTTTTGTTTTTAGTCAATATTTTTAAAATTTTAAACATTTTTTTTTATTTTTTTAGATGCACCTTACTTAGATGTATCTAAAAAGTAAAAAATTTGTGAAAAAATATTGTTAAAAATTAATAAATACATAAAAATACAAAAAATATACTGAATTCTCGTAATTTTTTTATATTTTTGATATTTGGTGAATTTTTAAAAGGTTTTGTTCAATTTTTTTTTTTTAATTTTTAGGTATATTTATGTTTGGTATGTCTAAAATTTTAAAAAATTGTTCAAAATATTAAAAAAAAATCAATAAAAACAAAAAAATACGAAAAATAAGAAAAGTATAATTTTCTGAAAAGTATTTTTAAAAAATGATAACCAAGCATAACGATTAGTTCTTAAATTTTTGTCGGAAATATTTCCCGATATTTTTTCCAATAACTATTGAATTATGAATTATTTTGATGCCGAATAATTTTGGAGCCTCCAGTTTGTGACTACTCTACCAAGGTTCCTCAGTCCATCTTGACATAAACTACTTGATTTGGGCTTTTCTCCTTGGGTTGGGCCCAACCCACTCTATGCAGATATGAAGATGGATGTCAGGCCCATGATCTGGTAGAGAAACATAGGTGAATATGACTTTTATTATAAGAAAAATTGAATGCATCAAAACTTTCTACTTTAGTAGCGTTACATTATTACAAGAAGTCAATAATACCACTTTATTTATCCCATCTTGATACCTTACCTCATTAGTAGCTATGTGTCCCTTCATTGTTACTAAGGTTACATAGGCTTCGTTTAGGAAGAAGTTATTTTAGTAGGCTATTTTAATTTTTGACTATTTTAGTAGGTTAAAATTTTTGTGTTTTGGAAGATGATTGGATTTTTTTATGGTTGGATGTGATGTTTGTGAGAGAAAAAGTGAAATGATTATGAGTTTGATGTGATATTTTGTCTTATTAGTTATTTTAGCCTATTTTGTCTTTTTGTGAATTTTAACTTAAATTAAGCTATTTTTTTTCTTCCCAAACACCCCCATAGATAGACTGAACTTTAACCATTGAGAGCTTCTTCACCGATGGTGAGCTCTATGACTTGCTATTACAATATTTTGCCTCAAACGTTTCAAAATTTATACTCCAATTGTAAGATATACAGCTTGTTATATGTCACTTATATAACTAAATGTTGTGTCAAATATTACATAAGATTTAACTATAGATAAAATCTTTCTGCTTATACATATCTTCTTGCAACTCACGTACAATATTTTGTTTTGCTATTTAATAGAAATTTTTTTATAAAAAAAAAATGGCATTATAGAGCAACATTGTTAAAGTTGAATATTTTAACATTATTCATTATACTTATTCACGTATTTAATCATTGAGAATACTATCAACTATTTATTTATTCAACAAATAGATATAGGCTATTCCATATATCTATTTGGGTGTGTCACCTTTAGGGATGTTTAGCGGATATTTCGATCTGTTTAAATTAACCGAATTGAATTGATCCACCGCATTTTGGACAGATGCGTGATGACGAGTGAACGATTGTGGATTGATTTTTTTCAATCCACCTAATTTTGGACGGATTGCGGCTTTAAGGTTCTTTTGGCCGTAACCGAATCGCCAAATCACGGGCACTCTTAATTATTTATAAAACTTTGTGTTTTCAATTTGTTTAGCTATTCTGTTTATGTTTTTAATTGAAAAAAAGTTTAGATATTCTGTTATGTTTTCAATTTAGAAATCCTTTTATCAAATGGCAAGTGTTAATATTTGGTATTTTTGTGTGAAACATATAAGACTTAATTTTGTCATTTAAAAAAAAAAAATCAAATTAAATAGCTTTTGAGTTAAAAAAAAAGTAATGAAATAATTTTGATAATGTATAGTTTTTCTTATATGTATTTATTATTGGTATTTGACAATTTACTAGATAATCTTTTAGTTAAGTTGAGTAAGATTGTTATCCAAAAAAAAATATTGACAAGTTGTTGTATTATGTTCAAAATTTGTAAAGTTTAAACCGCCAAACCGATTCGTATCCATCCGCTAATCTACTCAATCTGTATGTGTCAATCCTATGGACGGATGCAGATTGATTTTTTTTCAATTCACTAATCCGACAGACAGATAGCAAATTAAAAATTTTCCTGCCACAACTGAACCGCAAATACCCCTACTTACCTTTTACCACCACATAGCAATTTGTAAGACATCTTATCGCATCTATGTTAAGATGGAAATTAAATGAGTTTTTTGGGAACCCTTAAAATAAATATTTTTTTTTTCTCAAATAAGTCAATAAATTAAATCTACTCAGTTTGCATCCGTCAATCCTATGGACGGATGCATATTGATTTTTTTCAATTCACTAATCCGACAAACAGATGGCATATTAAAA